GGAAACGGGTCTTTACTGTAATAATGTTTAAAATTGAAACAAACGGCATTTTTATCATATCATGTGTAAGAATGTAGAAAATTGTAGTTGTCCACATAAGGTTGAAATGAAGACCACTAAACACATGCGAAAATACCTCTGTATTTACATGGTGAGTAGGTTGGGAGTAGTTACATGCACATTATTTCCATCCAACAACATTTTGAGCATGACATGGAGTACTCAACGGGTTTCTTGAAGTGAGAATGAATAGAAGGTACAAGGAGGAGAAAATATTACTTGTGGCCAGTATTAAAGAAATAAGGCATCAATGTTACCTAAAAGAAGTTTATAGACAATGATGACATGCTGGTGATACAGGAAAAACCAAACTCCCAACCTGATAAACGTCAGAGGTGCAGAGTTTGTGTTCTTGCCACATTGAGGAGGGAAGTCGCCAACCAAGGGAGGAGGTTAGGAGAGTTTCAGTGGAAATAAGGACAAGACCAGCTCCTGGATATGCAGGAGGGGTCTCGAGTGCGTGATTGCCAAGGTGCTTTGTCAAGGATGTTTTGTACAGAAAAATCAGTGTGGGTACAATGGGGGTCAAACTACAACCAACCTATAGCATTGCAAGAGTAGCTGCTTATGTAATATTGATCCAGTAGGGAAAGGAGTGACACAGCAAGGGTACGTGATAGAATAAAGGCATTATGGGGAAGGAAGGGCAGTATGTGTCCAGATGTCTGATGGCCCACTGGACCAGGTGGTGCTAATTACAGAATATTCTCAAGTTGTTATGTATACATAGGGAGGCTGAAGGCCCAACTATTGCTTTCCATCTTAAGAACTGGTTCTCTTCAGATTTGCCTCCAGCCATAGTTCTGATGTCTTCATTCTGTGCTGACTTCCTCGAGGGCCTAATCCCTCTGTGACTATATTAATTTCTAACTTGGCTTCCTATAATATTAGTTGTGACTTGTAAGATTCTGAACTTTTGTTAAGGTTAGAGGAAAGTAGTGGGGATCTCAAATGGAAGACATGTTATACAAAAACACATTAGTGAGAATAAACTTTAAAAAGAAGTTGAAAAGAATGCTGCTATTGTAGGCATGCAAGTCTGTCAGACCTACACAAGATTCACAAGTCACCATTTATAGGCCTTTAAGGGTCCCTAGAAAGAAACACCTTATAAACACAAATTAGTATTTTAACTTCAGTTGACCAAGAACAGACATGGCCTGGTGAGGGAATGACAAGCTTCTAGAACAATCTTAAGAAGAAATTATTGCTCTATATTCCTTACTAGCCCTAACTGGAGACACAAATTTGCTTATAACAGAGTTTTCATTCTCTAAAAGATTTAGCAATACACAAAAATATCAGCTATAATTTTTAGGCAATATAAAACACTATATAAATTCTTGTGAAAGGGACCTAATTAGACCCTGACATTTTATCCCAGACATATAACTTCTGTTAAAGTAGGTTAAAGATATTTATTACCTGAAAGATTCAGATCTTTCCTATCCAGCATCTGATTCTGGTGTCTACAAGGACAAGAGAGACAGTTCCTCTCGAAAAACCAGCATTTTCCTTGGAAGCAGATACATTTCCTTTCAAAGGTCTGATGCTTGTCTTTCTGTCGTGGAAGCTGTCTTTGTCCCTCTACTCCTTGCTGGGACACAATACCCAACACCAGCAATTTCAGGAAGAAAAAGTTTATTTTGGCATACATTTCAGAAGTTTCAGTCCATGTTCAGTAGACTTAAACACAGCAGCAGCCTGCAGAAGGGCCTGGGCAGAGGAAAGCTACTCAGTCCAGGCATCCAGAAAGCAGAGGATGAAGGAGAAGCTGCTTCTTCTGACCAGACCCAACCTCCCAGCTGGCTATAACCCCCGGAATCCAGTAACCTGCCAAGTACAAGAGACTTTGGAACCATTTCAGACCTAAATAACAGCATTTCTGAATTTGAGGTTCCTCTTTAAACACCAACCATGACAGACCCACTTCGGAGGATTGTTTTAAGAGTGAAAGAAAAAAATTTAAATAAAATACTGAACATAGTATCTAGACTATCTGGGACATCCATAAAATTTGTTACTAATCAGAAGTTTTTTATGAACTGCCCCTCATTCCTTTATTCAGTCATTTAAATAATGATTATGTGATAGCTGTGATCTACTTCCATTGCTAGGGAGAGGGAGAAAAAAGAGATCAATTATGAAAAAGTAAAATATATTCATTCTAATATGAATAATCATTCCTGGGGAGGAGGATAAAGCAGAGAAAGGGACAGTGCAGGTCACAGGCACAAGCGTAAAATTTACATAAGGCATTCAGGCAGCGAGTGGGTAGATATCGGTCATGTGCTCAGGCTTCCAAGGGGAAGGAGGGAGTCACCACAGTGTCAGAAAGACAACATTGCAGTTTGAGGGAAAAGTAAGTGCAGTGGCCCTGAGGTGGAGTTGGCTTGATGCTGTCCAAGAATGATAAGGAAAATGTCATGCAAAGAATTCAGGCATCCACGGAGAGCTGAGGATGGGCTCAGAGGATCAGTGGGACCAGCTATTAGTAAAAAAACAAAAAAACTCAACAACATAATAGTTCTGGCATTACTTCTGAGTGACACTGAAGAATACAGAGAATTGAACACCGGACAGATGATATTTTTAACAGGGCGACTCCGGAGCCCCCGAGAGAACTGAGCGAGGGCAGAAAGAGCAACCTGAGGCCCAGGATAGCGGTTGGGTTGGGACTGAGTGGAGGCCAGACTCTGGATATGCAGCAGTTGCATTTGATGTGGAGTTTGAAAGGAGAGAAATATCGAGAAGAATGCAAGCTCTGTGGCCTCAGCCAGTCTAGGGATGGAGTAACCGCCAGGCCAAGGAAAGAGCTGTTGTGTCCTCCTGCAGCCCTGTGCTTCTGTAAGAGAGTGGAGCCTTCCCGACAGGCCGTGCTTTATCTGCACCCTGCCTGCCTCGCCAACACATCCAGACATAACCACCAGTCTTCTGTAGCCAGTGGTCAATAAAGACAAGAGCAAGAAAGCAACTGACTTCCTCAATGGAATCTCAGTGTCACCGTCCTACGTCAGGTCGTTCATATACATCACTGCATTCAGCGTTGGAGAGTTCTTGTGATGTTGGTTTTATTATTTAACAACGTGGAGACTCTGCTTGGCTTAATTTCTCTAAAATTATCTAAAATTGTCAGTGACCTCTGGCATCCAAAACAGAATGTTAGTATTAAAATTCACTCCATATTTTAGCATCCAAATTTCTAATGTGGAGCCTAAAGAATCTGAACTTTTATTATGGAAATACTGTAATTTTTACTGTGCACTAAAATTGTAGAATGACTTTTTCCAAGCATAACTGACTGATTGATAGTGGGAAAGAATTAAGGTGAAAGAAAAAATATTCTCCAGGTTAACTATAATTGTACTCCATTATTACTATAGTTCTAGCTATTTTTTGATTAATGTTTAAATTTAATGAGAAAGGGAGAGCACAGGTGAGAGGCACAAGAGTAAAATTTACATAATGCATTCAGGCAGTGAGTGGGTACATGCTGGCCCTGTGTGTTTCTATGTAAATTCTTAGGCAGATCTCTGCATAGGTCCTTACTTTACAACAAGCAAAATGTGTCAATAAAGTCTGTAAAATTGCTCCCCCAATGAAGTGGCCTAATATAAACAAGGCTGGAGGAGATTGTCTGCAAAACATATAGACCACGCCTCTATTTACAAAGGAAAAGACTTCATTAACTCACCAGATAAAATTATTTGAGGAAAAATATGTAAACCCATCAATAATACCTGCTGTTAATATTGTTCTATCTTAACCAGTATTTGTCAGGGTGAAATTACTAGTTTTTAAATCAACAAAAGTTCTGATTGATATCAACTCAAGTGTGCATACATGTTAGTATGAAAAACACCAGAATAACAAATTCTGCTGAGGCTGCGGTGAAAATGAAACCCTCCTACAATGCTGGTGGGAATGTAAACTAGTACAATAATTATAAGAATCAATGTGCTCACCCCCCAAAAAAAAATCCCAAAAAACCCTGAAAACTAGGAATTGTATTTAATTCAGCTATTCACCTCCAAGACATCTTTCCAAAAGATTTAAATACCTCATGTTACAGCAATACATGTTTACAAGTGTTTACAGCAATATCATTTGTGTTAGCTGAATCTTGGAAGCTGCCTGTATGCCCATTAAAAGACAAATGGATACTGAGTTCAATTCCCAGTACCTCCCCCCAAAAAAAAGACAAATGGATAAATAAAATATGTATCTATACATAATGGAATACTACTTGGCTGTAAAAAAGGATAAATTGAGTCATTTGTAGTTACAACTTGAAAACATAATAAGTCAGGTAAACAAGGTCAAATACCATATGATTTCTCTCAGAAGAAAAATCCAAAGTACAAATAAATAACAAAATGAAAGGCAGATGAAAGAAGACAGAGAGAGAGAGAGAGAGAGAGAGAGAGAGAGAGAATCTTTTGAATGGAAAGGGGATCAAAAGATAAGGGGCATTAAAAGAATGAAGATATGCATCAACTCTCCACAATGGATGAATTACGTTATGTGTTGCTCATATGAACTAAAAAAAAAAAAAAAAAAAAAAAAAAAAAAAAAAGAAGGAAGAAAATGCAAAGATGGAATGGGGTAGGAGGAAGGGGAGGGGAGGAGGAATAAAAAGAATCAATAAATTTTAAGTACATGAACCTACTCCCTAAGGTGAATGTAAATGAGCACCACGAGTGTGCACTAATAAAATACTGTAAAACATAAAGTAACATAAGAAGTAAAGATTAACTTTTGTGAAAAAATAAGAACATCCTGATAAAGAAACAGAAAATAACCATTGCTTAAATAAAACACATGAGAGGCACTATATTTAGTTCTGTTATTCCGGCTGTCTTCTTAGTCACTTCCTGTCTACAACGCACCCCTCTCACTCATTGTTTGAAATCTGTGCTGCAGATTTAGCTCGCAAACAGTCCAGATAGGTTTGGTAAAGCTGGGGGTTTAAGAAAAATATTTGCATTTTCCTACTGACTGCAGTCTCCTATTGGAAGTTGGAGCACAGCATGGACCTCTTCTTCTAGAGCCGGGTAAGTTTCAGTCCTAACCTAATTCCTTCCTGCTTGGCTTAGCTCCCACGGTGCCCTACCGTTACGTCTTTCCTGAGACCAGCTTTCCCAGTGCGTGCTCTAAGGGACATTACATACGCATGAGGCTCTGATGCCGAAAATGTAAGAGGAGATGCTTTCAATCAGGGTGTATCCTACATGCTGGCAAAAGTGAGGGTCTGAGGCATCTTGAAGTACATATATCTGCTTGATTCTGCTTTATCCTATGAATCCAATCTTATTTTGTCTTACAACATTATTATAGTGCAGCTATTCTGTCACCCAGAACTAGTTACACTGCGGGGTACCAGAGTGTCATAAAACATACCCAACAAGCACTGTTGTTCTTAGCATAATTTGTAGTAACTCTAACCATAAATATCAGAAGGTTTGCTTGTATGTGTTCAACTGCCACACAGTTTCAAACCTGCAGAGGCTCCCCCAGCATTTCTCAGAACTCTGAGTTCTATCGCTGTACCAACTCCACCTGTGCTCATTATTTTTCACGTGTTCTGGGCATCTCAGTTGACATCAGGGCTGCATACAAAAGAGAATCTCAGCAACTCACAGCTATGAGAAGACACAAACGATTAACCACCGAAGTTACAACAGGGTCAATTTAAGTAGTGTATGTAAAGACTGAGGCTAAGTAGCTGGCAGCTGGCATATGGGCCAGCTGTTTTACCCTTCGCCCTGCCTTTAATCCATGTAAATGACCACAATGAAAAGCTGAGCAATAGCTTTGTTGAGAGCTTATCACCTGCTCTCAGATGTCTGCATGAGGAAAATCAGCAGATAGGAAGTGGGTCGAGCGTTGGACATGTAAAGCGTGATAAACTTATTTGGGAGCAAAATGTGAACGTGCAAGTTGTTGTCTGGAACGGGGAGTAAATTGTGAGGGGAAGTAAAGCCCAGTCTCCCTGCTGTAGTTGGAACTGAAATGTCCAACAAAAGCTCGTGTGTGGAAGGCTAGATCCAGGCTTGGTGGTATTAGGAGGTGATGGAAAATTGGAGCAGTGGGCTTCATGGAAGGTCTTTCGGTCATTGACGGTTTGCACTTTGGGTTTGTTCCTTTTCTCTCGGTGCACCCAAAGTTAAAGGGGAAAGGGTTTATTTAGCTCACAGTTGTGGAGGTTTCAGTCCACTCCTGCTGGCTCCAAGACAGGGACGGCAGCCAGGCATCTGAGAGAAGAAACCACATGGTGCCCACAAGGTAGCCGAGGCAACAAGGGACCTTAACGGCGTCTTTCTCCTCCTTTTATCTATTTAGACTAAAGACCAGGAAGATAGTGGTGTCAAATCAATCACTCATGTGTAGTGGTTCAGTAATCACACATCTTTAATCCTAGTATCACACATTCCAGATCCCGCCATCTCTGGAAAAGAAAGCCCAGCTCATCCACATGAGGCTGTGGGAGGACTCCACACACAAATGATACCACACTTGAAGATGACAGTGAGGCCATAAACTCCATTCAGATTCTACCCCCACACCTCTCTCTTCATTCCCTGGCTATGCACTGAATGATTTGACACACAGTCCTGCCATGACGTGCTGCCTTTTCATAGACCCAACAGTCACAGGGCAAATTAACCTTGGACTGGAGCTGTCAAAACTATGAGCCAAAATGCACCTTCAAAGTTCTGCTTCTGATGGAGGGTTGTGCTTCCAAAACTCCTTCTACAAGAGTTTTGTCTAATGACCATGTAAAGTGCATCTATATATTCATATTACAGTTGAGATTTTTGTGAAGCTTTTTATGTTAAAATTTATAAAAAATGTACAATTTATGTAATAAATTCATTTATGAAAGACTGATTTTTTAATTATTTTTTCTCATTGAATTTATTGGTACATTTTAGGTATACAGTACAGTTACATTCATCACTGGGATCTTGTGCCTTTACATGACAGGTCTTGGTTCTCATTTTTCCCCATTCCTCTGCCCTCCCTTCACCCCCTCCTCCCTTCCCTATTTACAAAGACTTTGTTTCCATTTTTTTTTTCTCATGCTTTTCCTCTTCCCTTATTTCCTTTCCCCTACCCTTCCCACTTCCCCTACACCTTTAGCCCTTTTCTTCCTATTTCATATGTCAATTACACAATTTGGATCTTATTTACACTTTTAGCATAGTGAGGCTATATTCTTAAGTGAAATAAATAAGACGTGTAAATACCAAATAGTTTCTCTGGTGTGAAAAACTAAAAAGGACTCACTTTTTAATAAAATTAATCCCCATATTAAAATACTGTCTAGAGTAAGCTGTTCTAAGCTTTGCATATCTTCTATGGAGGCTCCCATCCTAATACCTCAGTTCAATCAACTTAAACTATTGAATTTTTCATGGGACAGATTGACTTCATTATATAAAATATACTTAAAGTAACAGCTATAATCCAAAAGAATGCATTCTATATGAGCAATTCTTTAATTTAATTACTATTTTATCTACTTGTGAAGGTAGCTTATAAAATTTCTTCAATTAATAACTGCTTTTGAAAAAAATACCTTTCATTTCATTATTTTGGCAAATGAAAACAATTGCCAAAACTTCTGTACTTAAACAGTAAGGATAGAAATGTCTGGTAGAAACACATGCGTATTCATACGTGTTTGTTTAAATTTAGATGCATGTCCAACTCTGGGCCATTTCCATTGATGAGGGAGGAATACATATCAGTAAAATAAAATCACACTAATTAAGAAACAAACCTTATCCTCATAAGTCAATAGCTTTAGCTATTTGTTATAGTAACAGAAAGCTAACACACGCCCTCCTCAAGCACCGCACCAAGTTCTAGAGAAATGAGAGCTCCAGTCAATGAGATTATTAGGTGAATTCATAAAAACAGTTGTGTAACAAAGAATGGCGTACTTGTGGACATCAGAATTAAGAAAGACAGTCATCTACTGTGGGGTGATCTGAAGAGCTGACCTGAGGTGGTGACCCTAGCTGCTACCACTCCTCTTCCTGAAAGTCTACTCTCTGAGAGTCAGTCAGCCACCACATCATGGGACAGAACTCCTGCTGAGGCCCAAGGTGAGCTCTGAGTCCCTAGATGGATCCCTGAAAGGCCAGCTTGCTGGCAGATTGGTCAAGCATATCAACTGACTCACGACAGAAGTGAAAAAGGAAAAGGGCTTAGGGATCCCAGAACAATGGGTTCTACCCTTTGTAGCGTCTGCAAGCCTGACCTGGAGGAGAATCAGGAATACAAACAGAATATTGTGGACCCCTGGAAAAGCCTCCTGGGATTGAACTTTGCTCTTTCTCCTAGGTGTCCTGCCCCTGCCTTTCTGAAAACAAGCCTGTTCCTCTCTGTTTCTTCAAGTAGACTCCTCTGGTAGCCGGCCCAACCTGCCATTTATGTACAGTTCAGCGTGAGGGGTTCCATGGTAACCTAGGCATTTGTCTCAACAAATGTATTTTAAACAAATTGACAAATTGTTCTATTTCACCAAAGTAAGGACTATACAGATCTTTCTTTTCTTTTTACTTATTATTTTTTTTTTGGGGGGGGGGTCAGGGACTATTGCAATATCAACAAATAGGAGCCATTGGAAAGGAATTTTTTTTCCTCATTGAGTTTATTGGTACATTTTAGGGATACAGTACAGTTACATTCATTATTGGGACCTTGTACCTTTACATGACAGGTCTTGGTTCTCATTTTTTCCCCTTGTCCCTGCCCTTCCTTCACTCCCTCCTCCCCTCCCCAGCTACAAGCACTTTATTTCCATTTTTTCATTTTCTCCTATATTTTTCTTTTATTACCTTTCCCTACCCTTCCCACTTTCCCTACACCTTTAGCCCTTTTCTTCCTATTTCACATGGTCCATTATCTCATTAGGATCTTATGTACTATTACAGTTTATTCACACCTGAGAGAGGAATTTTTTTTAATTGTGGTATGTGTGTGATTTGACAGTGATATGCTCTGATAGTTCTTTCTTTCTATTGCTGTATATACCCATGCCAAGACAGAACAAGGGCAGGGGAGGTCTAGCTACCACAACTTCCTAAATCCCTCTACTTTCTTCGTCTAGCCAAGCATCTTATTTCCAATGATGTGTCTGGTTTAAAAATTCTCTTCCCATTTTCCTCTGTTCCAAACACGGATTTCTTTGGTGAGGTGATAAAGAAATATGGATGATTAAACTAGTTTGTGTTAAGGTGTGAGTAACTCATGACTCATTTCATGCACCAATGGATACTGCATCTTAATGAAAACCTTTCTGGTGATGATAAAGGTGGTAAAGAATTTCTTATGGGATGTAGCCAGAAATTACCTGCATGCCTAGAGTTCTTAAAGTGTATTAATGACATCCCTTATTTTTAAACTATTCATATTTTAGGTCTTTCTAGCTAGATGGAATTTCAAAGCAGAGAAAAAGACAGAGAAAGAGACAGAGTGAGGCAGAGAAACAGACGGGGAGACAGACAGAGAATGTGGGTTTAGAATGATCTTCATACTTGGTTCAGTTGTGTTTTATTTGTGCTTGTCATAACTGGCTTTATTAAGCAAAAATTCTGCAAGAAGCAAAATTAACAATTTTAACAGAGTGATGAAATTCTAAAACCTGTAGCTAAAGGAGGAGCCATTCGAAAATAATGAACCAAGTTTCAATCATTGTCAAAAGCTTCATCCTTACGTTAGTAGCACTAATCAAGTGGAGAGCATTTAGCTCCTTGTTTATTTTTTCTTACATAACAAAATTAGTCACCTACACAGTAATAAATTTCTTGTTCATTATACAGAGAATGTCTTGCTTTATTTTGGAATAGAAGTGGCTGAAACTGAACATAAGTGATAAAGTTAAAACTAATGTTCCTGTGAATGATGTGTAGCTGTGGCTTATAGTTTCCCCTTTGTAAATGCAGATGGCTGCACAAACATAGTTCCTCTAGCAAATCCAACTTTGACACTCAAAACTGAGACATCCCTGCACGTGTTTTCATCCTGTATTATCCAGTGCAATTTTCTCTCTTCCTGAAGATTTAGGTCCCTTTGCCAGAAAAGAGGCCAAGTGTATCGCTTATCCTTTTGTTAACGGAAGCATGAGTGTGACTATGTGTGCTGGATATTTAGTAGTGGTTCCGAGTTAGGGTTGGGGCAAATTCAGGACTTTGCTTCCACATTACTGAAGCTAAATCAGCACCTAAATCTTGGACTATTGCCTTGGTGATTATAAAAAGCAGATGAAATGGATCCAGAGAAGGAAATTATTTTTGAAATGTGAACTTGGGATGGTTGAGGATATTTACAGCTCCAACTCTACTGCAGATAGAGGGCAGGAGGCTGACCTTGCTATTGCAAGGAGTGGAGTGGAAAGGAGCTGTCCTTTCTGCCTGGCTGGCACTGCTGAGGCCATGATGGAAAACGAGGAGGCCAGGCAATCTCACATGACAGATAAGGAGCTGTATAGCTGCCCTTGCCTCTCCACCTAATATGACTTTCCCAATACAGCAAGAAAAAGCAACATATACATTTGCAATAAATGACTGTGAGAAGGTTCCCTAATAAGACTGCATTTTCAAAGTTGATTTTCTGGAGCTGACCATCCTCAGTGGAGAAAAGATAGCCTCTTCAATAAATGGTGTTGGAAAAACTGGATTTCAACCTGCCACAAATTAAAACTGAACCCTTATCTTTCACCATGCACTAAATTAAAATCCAAGTGGATGAAAGATCTACATCTTAAAACAGAAACACTATACTTGCTGGAAGATAAGTTAGGCAGAACTCTGGAAGACACTGGCATAGGAAAAGACTTTATGAACAAATCCTCAGTAGCATGGGAACTAGCAGGAAGAATCAACAACTGGGATCTCATCTTATTAAAAAGCTTCTGTACTGCAAAAGAAACCATCAACAGAACTGAGAGACAACCTACAATGTGGGAAAAAAATTTACCAGCTGCTTCTCAAACAAAGGGCTATTATCTAGAATATATAAAGAACTCAAAACAATCAGCACCCCCAAATATAAAGACCTGATTCAAAAATGGGCATCAGAAATGAACAGACATTTCTTGGACAAAAAAGTAAAAGCAGCAAGTAAGTATATGAAAAAATGTTCCACATCACTGGTCATTCGAGAGATGCAGATGAAAACAACACTGAGATTCCACCTCATCCCACAAAGAATGTCTGCTATCAAGAAATCAAACAGTAACAAATGTTGGCAGGGTTGTGGGGGAAAGGAAGCCTTCTCCATTGTTGGTGGGAGTGCAGACAGGTGTAATATGGAGATACCTCAAAGAGCTTGGACTGGAGGCTCTATTTGACCCAGCCATCCCTCTGCTGGGTATCTTTCAAAAAGAACTAAAATAATCATATCACAGTGATGTATGCACACCCATGTTTATAGTGGCACAGTTTGTAATAGCTAAAACTTGGAAACAGCCTATTTGCCCATCTGTTGGAGACTGGATAAAGAAGATGTGGTTTGTCTATAAAATGGAATATTACTCAGCCATAAAGAATGAGAAATGAGATTCATTCATAGGAAAATGGATACATATTGAGGACATACCCCTAAGTGAAATAAATAAGTCACACATGTGTAATTACTGAATAGTTTCTGTGTTATGAATAAACTATAATAGTACATAAGATCCTACTGAGATTACTGACATTGTGAAATGGGAAGAAAGGGGCTAAAAATCTAGGGAAGATGGGATGTTTAGGGGAAGGGTAATAAGAGAAAAGAAACAAATGTAAGATAATGAAAAGATGGAAATAAGGTGTTTGTAGCTGGGGAGGGGAGGAGGGGGTGAAGGGAGGGCAGGGACAAGGGGAAAAATGAGAACCAAGACCTGTCATGGAAAGGTACAAGGTCCCAACAATGAATGTAACTGTACTGTATACCTAGAATGTACCAATAAACTCAATTGAAGCTGGAAAAAAAGACTGTATTTTCTGGTAGAGGAAGAAATGGTTAATCTTCAAACTAATTTCCTAGAAGTTGTTTCCCAGGAGAAGTGTTGATGTGAATGTGTTTCCTCCTCCTGCAGCTGGCCTGTCCGCAGACCTCCGGTGCTCACTCTCCAGCTGTCTCACTCTCAGCCTGCGATCCTCTCAGGCGCTCAGAACGCAGCTTCCCAGAGCTTTCCCCACATAGCAGGTACCTTTCCCACATGACTTTTCTCCTTGTCAGTGATTTTTCTTATCCCTTTGTTCTTTATCCTTCTTTTTTCCCTTTCTATGTTTTCCTTTATACTTCCTTACATTTTTAATTTAAATTTAGGAAGCCCTTGTGCTGTGTCGCACTGTGATGATTAACCCAGCTCACAATCCAAGGCAAATGCTCCTGTCACAGACAAAGAGCTCCTCTCCTCCCTCAGACAGGCTCAAAACAGGAGTCCTTTCCTCCTGGAGGCTTCTCTAAAAGCTCGAGGCTGACTTTGACTGCTCCTTCCTGTGCTGTCAGAGGCCCCAGGGTATCTCTCCCTTCAGCAGGTGCTTATGCCACTTCCTTCTGGCTCCACTGCAGGGTAAGATTAGTGGCTGCCATTGATGATCCTTGCCTAGGTACATAATAAGTTACTAAAAATATTGATTAAATTAATGAATACACCACACATACACACACTTTATTTTTGTTTCCTCTCTATTCTTCTCCAGCATTCTGCTGAATGAATTATGTCTTTTTCAGATTGAATATTCTGTATTCCTAACTGCTTTCATTTAGCTATCAATGGCCTTAAACTTCTGTTTAAAACATATTTTCCTTGATTACAATAACAACTCAAAATGTCCTTGGTTTCTTGAGAAGAGTTTGTGTTAACTCCAATTTATGATTTCTACTTTATCATTTTACTCTTGTGGTTCTCAAAGTGTGGTGGCCAAAGGAACATCATCAGCATCCGATGAAGAAAGACAGTCTTGGTCTCCACCAAAGAACTCATGGATCAGAAACTCTGGGTAAGGAAAAAAAACGAGAAGAAAGGAAAAAACAGAAACAAAGTGTTTGTAAATAGCAAGGGTGGAGGGTGATGAAGGGAGGGCAGGAGTATGGGGAAAAAATAGGAACCAAGACCTGTCATGTAAATGTACAAGATCCCAGTAATGAATGTAACTGTACTGTATACCTAAAAAATACCAATAAACTCAATGAAAAACAAAAACAAGAAAGAAAGAAAGAAGAAAGAAAGAAAGAAAAACTCTGGGTGTGGGCCAGCGGTCTCTGAAAAGCTCTCCAACAGACACCCATTCCTGGTCACTTCTGAGAGGAACCGCTCTTGCTGAATTACTTTTTCTGTCGAGATTTAAGATTTTTCCCATTTGACTTGGTTGTCAGACTAAAACACAACTCTTTATTTCTCTAAAGGGTATGTGCAGACATTCACAGGTCTTATGATGAGGTGTGTGCTATATTATAACACACACCTGCAATAGAAGAGAAAACTTTATAGCAGTATTAAAACCATTAAAAGAAAGACTGACTCATATTTTCTCCCTGTTTGGAGTGGCTTTGAGTTTCTAAATATCTGAGGGAACTTTTTATAGGTTTTTAATTTTATTTCTGCTGTGAAAAGAAAATAAGCTCTCACTGTTACATCCTTTTCTGCATTTTGTTTACACATAATTGTTTTTTCCCTTACTGGGGACTGAATCCAGGGACATCACACTGAACAACATTGCTGGTCCTTTTAAAAATATTTTTGCTTTGTGACAGGGTCTCAGGAAGCCATTAAATCGCCCAAACTGTGGTCGAACTTGAAATTCTCCTGGCTGGGTCTCCGCAGGCTGGGGTTACAGACTGCACCACCAGGCCCAGCTAAACGTACATTCTTTAGAAGAAACTGGTAACGTGAATTCAGTAAATAACAATATAATATACAATTTTACCAACTAATTTTAAAATGGTAGCGCCTTTTGGAGGAGGTAAAAACAAATTTTAAGCATATTATTCTATGAAGAATGCAAATGAAAAACGGTAAGGGGAGCAGGGTTTCGCTAAAAATAGAAAAGCTGTAGAAGAGACTTGAGATAAAAAGGAAGACGCAGACGGAAAAGACAAAGCGAGGAATGAAAACAGGCAGCGCGTAACAGACGCGGAAGTTAAGGAAGAAGGCAGGATGCCTGAAGCTTCCTCCAGGGCGGGCCTTCAGATCGGGAGACGGCGGAGAACAGACCGCGAGCTGGGCGGAGCCGCTCCCCCGAGTCACAAAACCCGGCCAGGTGGAAGGGCGGCCAAGGGAGGTGGACCCAGCGACCCACGAGCAGCGCGGACCAGGTGCGTGTACCGCAGAACTTCCGAGATGGTGAAAGATCGTTTTAATCAGTCGTGAAACTAAGTCATGTAGAAGGGCGGGCAGCTTTTCTGTCCATCTCTTATTGGTGAAGAAAACCACAGACACCACCAAAGTGGAGCGTGGAAGTGTAGGCTGTATTCACACACTTTTTTTTTTTTTTGTACCAGGGATTGGACTCCGGTCCTTGAGCTTGTGAGGCAGGTGGCAGAACACAAAAAGGTCTCTTTAGTGGAGAAAGGAGAGGTTAAGGAGAAGCAGGGAGGGGGACAGAGAAAGAAGGAGAGAACAGAGACCAAATCCAAAGGCTGAGCTGGCTGTGGGAAAGGTAATCTTCATTACAGGTAAATGCAGCCATGGTTCCAATCTCTATGCAGTTTTTAACGTCCGAGTAAATCTATATGTAGCTAGGACTTTCGTTACCTGAATGATTTTTCATTGAGACAATATGTAGACAATCCCAATAATTCAAGAACTAAAGAAATATCCCACACGTGACCCGATTTTATAAAATCTAGGTGTTGCCTTCAGAATGAGAAGATGTTTCAGTATGAATCACTGACTGGGGAAAAGTCACCATGAGCAGCGGCGATTCCGTTCTCTGACACGTGAAGATAAGCCTAGAATCACCTGGCATTAGCAGTCACACAAAGGGGTATAAATGTGTTGACGGCTAAAGGATTTTAAATGTTTTGTAATTAACTTAGAAAACAGAGCTGAGAGGAAATGAGGTGAAAAAGCTTGTCACAATAGTTTTGCTAAGGTTGGCAAAGAAAAAAGCTATTAAAGCTTTGAAGGGGGAAGAATATTGTTATCCAGAAAATGGAAACATGTAACTAATGTGAAAGCACTACTAAAGTGATATATTAATAGTTTTCATCATAATTTTCTTTGGTCAAAAACATTGAAAAATAAACATTGCCTGATTTGATTAAATATGTGTGTGATGCTAAGTGATTTCTTTAATTTCCTGGAATTTTATTCAAGATAAAATAAATGTAAGAATTTATAGTTAGGGGTAGTTTTCTCTATTTTAAATTATTTCCGAATACCTTTTAAGGTGCTTATATATCCTTATATAGTTCAGATTATTCCATTATGTTATTTCTGGAATATTTTATAAATGTTTTAACTTACATACTAAGTGTTATTTACTTACTGGATATTATGTGATATGTTAATACATGCATGTATCATATAGTGTTCAAATCGGAGTAAGCATTTTTCGTGTCACTGTATTGAAAGTGTTCAAAGTACATTCTTCTAGATTCTTGCAACGCACAGCACATCATGATCCGTCATCACGTTTTTGGAATATTGCTATGAAACAGTAAGGAGATTTTTTTCACTTTTTGTTCTTCTCAACATTACTGAGCATTTTAAAATAAGGAAAGCAAATTGCTTTTTTTACAAGTGTTACTAAAAATCACAGGCTTATTACAAAATAAATTTTGAAGAAACAAAGAAGTGAGTGCAGGCTCTTTGTATTCCCCCAGTCTAGCACCCGATCAGCGTCCTGCGCCGTCTTCCACTTCCCTATACGGTCCGCAGTGTGCAGCTCAGGAAGCCTCCTGAGTCAGGGGCAGGGCTCTTACCCCCATCTGCTCTGGCACCTAAATGCATCAAGCCACACTGATTTAATAAATCAGAACGCTTTCGTTTACATGGATGCCTAATCACAGACTCCCAATCATTTCTTTAAAACACAATAGGGACGTGTCTGACCCAAGACATTATTTGGGAGATGAGCTAATGATGGCAAGTAAGGCAAAAGGATCACATGGGGTTCTGATCTGTGAACTTGAGGCGATGGTGGAGAAGAAAATAACTATCCTGTGGGACAGAGGACTGATGCAGGTGTCCAGCACTGTAAATGAGAGATTGTGAGATCAGGGGTTATAAAAGAAGTCCTTTGCCATATGCTGATGGCATGGAATGGGAGAGTCTTCACAGGTCACCGGGGTGCATGAGCATCCCAGACAGACTCTTGCTCCAAGTTAGCACCTTCTGCTTGTCAGGGATGGATGGGCTGCAACACCAGCCCATACTGGAGAGGATCTGATCAAGACCATGCTCAAAGTCTTTCAGACAACATGGACTACATGTAACATGTACTGACCCCTTAGAAAAGAACCCTCATAAGGACTAACGGGCAGTCTGCTGCTGTGTACAATCTTTATATTTCTTTCAAGCTGTGCAGAGAATAATCAAAGGAGGACTGATGTGCATGTTCTTTCATCAAATATCAAGCATATAGGCTTCTCAGGCATATTTGAGTGTTGACTGAAAGATAATGTTTACTAGGAATGAAAGTCAGCGTGAGAAACAGTAAAAAAAAAAACAAAAAAACAAAACGCTTCCAAGAAGATGGTATTACAGACACCACCGCAATAAAGATAATTGCTAAAACAATCCATTGGTTTTATTTGCATTTCTTCATCTTTTCACTAGAATACATCTCATGGGAATTTTAGCGCACTTCAGCCCCCACTGTGTTGGGAAGTGACAGATCCATGTGCTGGACTGAGTATAAAATTTGGGAAGAGGAAAACAGCAGCAACTACAGCCAAAACAAGCTGAACTGAAGCAAATCACTAATTACACCATTTCCTGGGTGTGTGACCTTGGGCAAAAAATATCTGGGGGTCACAATGCACTAGGTATTGATATGGAAAATAGTATCCACCATATGTAAAGACCAAGGTGACATAGGACGAGGCATGTGAAACGTTTTCTATAGTAGGTAAATATGTGAGTGGCAGAGTCTGCTGCAACATAAGGGAGCGAAATTGGAAAGTTTTCCTCCTTCAGAGGTATATGACTTGACACTCCGAAGTCCTTACAAACCTTAACTTTTTTTATTAGCATCCTCATTCCATTCGCAGATGCACTGTTACTGGCACATGCTGCTGTTTCTTAGCTTGAACATTTTCTGGCAGCTTATTTGGCTGACATTCTCAGTTACATCCCAGCTAGGATTTTGTATTCTGTCCCTCAAGCCCCAGGCACTCAAAAGCACACTCTTTTTTTTTTTTTTTTTTTTTGCACACATGAACGTGATTGCACATTTGTTGTTGACACAAAACAATTACTATGGTTACTCATCTCATCCAAATAAATCGTGTATTTGCACTCAGCTTCAAGTAGGCAAAGCTGTGTCAAACCTCAAACCTTAAAACCATCTGGATTGAGAGCAGAGGATGGCCAGGACCGTGGGTTCTCCTCACTGTGATTTCGACCATTTTAATTTGACTTACACCTTGAACAATCATGCTTCTCTTCAATAACGTCTTACAATTTTTAAAAATCTCTGTGTGTGAGGCAGTGTGCTAAGTGATTTATGTATATTAACATGTTGATCCTTACAGCAACCTTGAATAGTCATTATAAGTGTGTGTATTTTACAATGAGAAAATGAAAGCTTAGGGGCTTACGTAATCTGTCAGCTACCGCATCATGAGAAAGTAAGAAAGGTAGATTTAAAATCGGGTCTTCTTGAAATGCAGACTCAGATCTGGTATAAGTATATGGCAATTCGATGGTACAGATTGTTTCTTTCACATATAATTTTCCAATCAAATTGTCTCCCTGGGCTCCTCATTGCCTCCTGGGTAAAGATCGCATGGCTCGGTCATTTAGGATCTTCATTCAAACTTTGTTCATCTTAATTACTGATGCTCTTGCGAAGGATAAAGTGTGTTCCAGCAAGGCCACTTCCTTTACTCTCTAGTGAGCATCTGCTCTAAACTACTCATTTAGCTTTGAAAAATGTGTCAAATCAAATTCATTCCAAGGCAGTATAATTTCAAATGATTAGGGAGATGTATTCAGAACATCTTTTGAACACCTTATGATGGCCTATTTAAATTATTTTTCTTCTAAAGCAAGGATGTTTCTTTCTTAAACTAACAAAATGATTTGTTAAGTGCTAAACATGTTACAAAGTGGGAAACACAGACCTGTAGCCTATTGGTTTTAATTCATTTCACATCTTTACTCATACTTACTAGTATGCTAGGCATGGTGGACTGCAGAATGAAACTAAACAATCCCTTTATTTAAAGAATGCTTTAGGACTGGGGATTTGGCTAAGTGGTTCTGGCCACTGCCTTGCAAGTGTAAGGATCCTAGTTTGATCCCTAGTACAATAATGATAATGATAATGATAATAAAGAATGCTTTATAGTGATGGTATATGTCACTATTAGATATAACAGCATTTTCTACTGTGTGCGTAGAAGATCAGACTTGGTGATACATGTTATAATTAGTTACGATGAAAGGACTGAGACAGAGACATGGCATTCGTAAAGGAACTGATCATACTACATAAACATGCTTCTAGTCATCAGCTGGTTGGGTGGTATCATTCCAATTTTGGCTTTCAATTATATAGTTTTATATATACTTTTTTGTTTGTTTTTGTTTTTTTGGTACCGGGGATTGAACTCGGGCCCTTGTGCTTGCAAGGCAGGCGGCAGAACCACTGAGCTACATCCCTGGTCCTAGTTTCATATAGTGACATGACAAAAACAAGTAATGACTGAGTTTGTGTTCTTATATAAAGGGGATCTCCTTGACCTCCTATGAACTGTGTGCCAATGACATCCGTGTAACCAGGGTTGTTCCTTACTCTGAATGAAATATGAACTTCCATATTCCAAGATTATTCATTCTAAGTTCAGAGCCTCTGAAAATTGAAATCATAGTAAAAGTGCTAAGAAAAAGAGAATGTCTAACATTTAGATATTCTTTTGTGCACGTTAGTAAGCACTGGGAAAAAATGTATCCAAAAATAAAATGCTCCACTAGACATATAAAATATGCTAGCAAGTAAATCATTCTTATTATAAATAATTTCCTCTGTAATTGTAACACTGATTTTGCTAAGTTTTACTTCCTTTTATATATCCTTTTCCATGTGATTTTTACATGCTTTTGAAACTTGATTTTGAGAGCCATATCTTCCTGGTTTTGACCTGCCTTTGCAAATTAAATTCACTGAATCTACTTTGTGTAAGAAGAATTTGTGGGAGCCCAGAACCCCCCGAGTGAAGTGGCTGCCGTCTGAATATTTACAGGAGGTAGAAAAGGTCCCCCCTTCCTTCTTTGTATCATTATAGAGAAGCCAGGCTTCTCCCTTCCTTACCTCGACCCTCCATGACATAGTGTTATATAGCACATTTTAACGCCACGTTGTTATATAGTACAATTCCTAGCTGATATTTTTATAAATCATTTAGGGTTTAAGATTCATCGTGGTTCCTATGTATATATTAGCTTTAATGTTTTTAACTAGTGCACTAAACTGTAAGTTTTCACTATCCATTCTCTTGGTGAGAGTCACACCGTTTGTTCCCAATCTGGAGCTACCTTACATAACACTGTCACATACATTAGTGCATATATCACTTAGGAAACTCTGTGAGAATTTATTTGAAATATTACATGAATATATTTGCAATAAGTATTTGGATGAAATGGCTAAGTGAAAATATATGCACATATTTACTATGACCATCAAAATGCATCCAGGATAGCTGCTCCAGCTCCTATCTTCTGTGGCACCAAAATAGAACTTTTAATGCCTACATTATTGTAAACACTAAACTTTGTCCAACATTCTAATATTTGACTATATATCTGTGTGTGTGTGTGTGTGTGTGTGTGTGTGTGTGTGTATCTTGGTTTTCAATAGATGCTTTAATTGTAGACAGGATTATATTACTGCCATAATATGTTTCAACTAAATTATGTGCATTAGAGCTTTATAAAGGTATAAATCTATACCTTGCAT